CCCTAAACCGAAAAAACCCTAAACCGAAAAAACCCTGAACCCTAAACCCTAAACCGAAAAAACCCTAAACCCTGAACCCTAAACCCTAAACCCTAAACCGAAAAAACCCTCACCCTAAACCGTTGGGAGCCCGGCCAGCTTCCAATCAGAGCTGGGCTTGCACTCCTTGAAGGACTCGCAGGTAATGGGCCTCTGTAACAGTGCGTTGAGGGTTTAGGGTTTAGGGTTTAGGGTTTAGGGTTTAGGGTTCATGGTTTAGGGTTTAGGGTGCTGTCTTCAGGTGCAGTGGGAGTAGGGTTTAGCGTCAGGTTGTACAGAAGCGCTTCAAGTTTGAGGGAGCTTTTTCGAGCTGCCAGGGTTTGGGAGTCATGGCCACTCCCCGAGATGAGTGCAGGGAGTGCCGTAACTCGCTTCGTGAAAAATGGCCTCAACCCAGGGTGCAGTGACATGGCAAGGGTATTTCGAATGATGGTGATCCGTCTCGGCTGAGCCTCGCCTTTGCTCCAAGAGACTCAGAATGCCACGCTCCTTCGTGATCATCCACCTTTCATGGCCTTCGGCTACTTTGCGGGAGTCTCTGGCCCTGCCTCAAGCAAACATTGGTCAGGAGAACGTCGTCATCCGTCACGACTGCGTCCTGGGCTGAGCTGAGCCAGGCTTATCACAAGACACACAGACGAGAATGAATCGCTTATGAACTGAAACCATGCCTCTTGCCGTTGTAGACAAAGTAGGCAAAGTGAGGAGCCCGTCGACAGACCCGCCACGTGTCTGAACGAAACCCTACCATTGGACCATCGCCGAAGCCGATCGTGCAGAAAGAAAACTATGTATATATATATATATATACATGTATGTATGCATTTGCATATTTCATTATGCATGTACACATTCGTTATTCGACAGACAGACAGACAGACAGACAGACAGACAGACAGACAGACAGACAGACAGACAGCCAGACAGACAAACAAACAGCCAGCCAGCCAGCCAGCCAGCCAGCCAGCCAGCCAGCCAGGCAGACCTGATGCACACGTCCAAACATCCACCCATCCAACCATCCATCCATCCGCCCGTCCATCCGTCCGTCAGTCCATCCATAAATACCTACGTCCGCTACATCTATACATACAGGCGTAGACACATGCACGCATGCACGCACACGCACACACACATACACACATATGTTCATACATTGTCACATGCATGCATGCAGACAGCCAGACAGCCAGACAGCCAGACAGCCAGACAGACAGACAGACAGACAGACAGACAGACAGACAAACAGACAAACAGACAAACAGACAAACAGACAAACAGACAAACAGACATACATACATATACACACACACGTACATACATACGTACATATACGCACGCATACACATGCACACGTAAGTACGCACATACATCCATGCATGCATCCATACATGCATACGTTCCGTATGTACCGACTTGCATACTTGCAGACTTGCTTCTTGCCAGCTTACCTACTTACTTACTCACTTTCCTACCTTCCTACCTACATACGTACATACTTACTGGTTGACTGATTTCTTGCTTGCTGGCTTACTTGATTGCGTACTTCCCCGTTTGCTTGCTCGCTCGCTTGCTCGCTTGCGCACAAAATACGACACATCTCTTGGCAAATCTCGCCGACAACTACCAGACATCCTGACCTCTCAGACAAAACAGACTGTCAAGCTGCCAAATCCTCAAACCCCCAGCAACAACAACAAACCCGGGGCCTCTCCCCGATACTCGAAGTCGGTCTCGCTAGCCAAGGACTTCACCTGCAAGGATCTATCAAAACCTCTTCGGCTGAAGCGGCAGCCGATGGAAAGCGCCACATGGGCTTTTGAGCAACAAAGGACTGAAGCTTCTCACATATTGCTTGGTTTCGATCAACACGTCAACGAAGCTTGGCAGCAAGACCAGAAGCTCAGGGTGGCTGCTGTGCTTCCTGTGCTGGGCCCAGTCTTCTGCCAGATAGCCGGCAACAGAATGACATTTCACATTGGATCGGCTGAGGCACGGTGTCCGTGCTGCTCACGACGGTGTCGACAGCACCTGCCGTGTCCACTTTCGCACAATAATCAAACGATTCTCAGTGTTGCATTTTTGCTGACTCTGTTCATACTGATTAGACCGCGTACCATACGTCTTGCAGGCTGCACTCAGGGTCGAGAAAACTCCCGCGACTCAGTTAGTAATGGTATTGTGTTCAATACGACAGCTGGTGACAGTCTCATTACTGGTGTTGTTGACAGCCTCATTACTGGTGTTGCTGTTGTTTGTAACGTATAGTTGATGTACCATTCTTCATGACTCGGAGTTGTGTCGTTATCACTTCTATTGCCCTTTTTCATTGCGGGAATGCTGCGGCGGTAGGCAGCTGAGAGATTCTTTGCTCAGCAACTTCTACCCCCAAGTGCTTCAAAGGCGGCTTCCGAGATCCGGAGCTGCTGACCAACTGCATTAGCAGTTTAGGGTTTAGGGTTTAGGGTTGAGGGTTTCAGGGTTTAGGGCTTCTCATGACTCCTCTCGGACGCAGATGCGTAGACCACGAAAGTCCAAGGTCTGCAGGTGGCTGAGCAGTGCAGCTGCTTCCAGGCTTCTGTTGAAAGCTTGGCCAAAGGTCAGCATCTGCAGGCCACTTGGCAGCGAGACTTCCTCTGTCTGGTGCTTAGTAAGGAATGGGGGAATGGATCCCTATGATAGTCCCTTAAGGTCCCTTATAGTAGCCCCTATAAACCCATAACCCCCATTCCCGACTAAGCCCCCCGTCAGTCCTCCAAGCTCTGGTTAAAGTCCGCGCCAAGAGTCAAAGTTTGCAGGCGGCTCGGCAGTGTCGCAGCCGCCAGGCTCTGGTTGAAGCTGCGCCCAAACGTCAGAGTCCTGGGCTTTGAAGTAACCAGGGAGAAAAAGGTATAGACTTTTATTTTATAATGGTTCCTTTAAGGAACAGGTCCCAAAAAAAAAGTATTAAAGTATGGTACTCCAAAGCCCAGGAGTCTGCAAGCTGCTAGGAAAAACCATGTTCTCCAGGCTTTGGTTGAACCGCTCACCGAAGCTCAATGTGTGCAAGTTCTCAGGCAAAGTGACAGCTGCTAGGCTTTCATTGAAGCAGTCGCCAAAAGTCAAGGTGTGCAAGCTGCTTGGCAGAGTGACGCCCTCAAGACTTTGATCAAAATATTGGCCAAAAGTCAATCTCTCCAACTTGCTTGGTAGGAGGATATCATCAAAGCTCTGGTCGAAGTGGTGGCCGAAGGTCAGGATCCGCAGGCTTTCCGGCAGCCTGACTCCTTCCAAGCTTCCGTTAAAGAAGTAACCGAAGGCCAGCTCTTCCAGGCTGCTCGGAAGGATGGTACCTTCGAGACTACAGTTGAACCTGTCGCCAAGAACCAAGGTATGCAGGCCCTCTGGCAGCATGGCCCCTGCCAAGCTTTGGTTGAACTGGTCGCCAAGGACGAGCGTCTGCAGGCTGCTTGGAAACCTCACTCCTCTGTCTGGTGCTTAGTAGGGAATGGGGGAATGGGTTATAGGTACTACTATACGGGACCTCAAGGGACTATCATAGGGATCCATCCCCCATTCCATACTAAGCACCAGACAGTCCTTCAAGACTCTGATCGAAATCTTGGCCAAAGATCAAGGTCTCCAAGCTCTGTGGCAAGGCTACACCTGCAAAGTGTAAGAACGATCTGTGCTCACAGGAACTCTTGCATATATGCTTGTACTGAGCTGTGTGCTTGATTTTGCTTTCGGAAGTCTGTGCCTACCAAGCTCTGGTTGAATCTGTCTCCAAATGTCAAGCTCTTCAGGCTGCTTGGCAGTACGACGTCATCCAAGATCTGGTTGAATGCCCGGCCAAGACAGAATGTGTGCAGACTGCTCGGCCAACGGATACCTGAAAAACTGGGAAATCGACAACGCATGCTCCTTGTACGAAATCAAGTGCAACTTCTGTACGTGCACCATCGGATCGGACATACATGATCATTGTCGTCCCCACCAAGCCACTCCCGAAGCAAAGGTCTTACAACAGCACAACAGCCTTATTCACAAAGACCGGAGAGCTGACTGAAGCTGCTCCTTTCACCATCGAGATTGAATCGATCCGGTTCCTGTGCTTGCCAGAAGCACATGTACTGGTTTACAACCCCCACAACGTGGGGTGCCAACACTCCTTCCCACAGCCGTCAGTTGCAGAAGCGTGTAGATTACATGCTTTTTTCTGGAACAACCACAGAGTGCGGAGTGGTTGGGTTCCCTCGTGACCTTGTGGTTCGCTCCCTGCTATAACTTGGGCATGATCCCTCATGGGTTTTTAGCAACGGCACTCATGTCTCAAAACGCATGGTTCTTCCTATCCTCTACCCACAGACGAACCACAAAATCACACCAAAGCTTCGGCACCGCGTGTTGAGCATGGCGATCCCCTAAAAGTCTTCACTGTCAAGGCATAGCGTGCCAAAAAAACGAACTCACAAGTGCATAGCCTTGAACGCCGAAGGCCGAACTTAAATATCTCACCGCCAAAGCCAGAGCTAAGCCCAGGTGCCACTTAAGCTCTGGTCAAACTCGGGTCCGAAGGTCAATGTCTGCAGGCCGCTCGGCAACGCCAAGCCGTCCACGCTTTCGTCAAAGTCTTGGCCGAATGTGAGTGTCTCCAAGCCTTCAGCTTGTCTTGGGCAGCTCTAAACAGACAGGTTCTGACGCAAGGCCCGAACACTACATGGCTGTCATGCGCAGGTGCCAACTGCAAGATGCTTGAACATCACTGCTGCGTGAAAAGTCGGCACGCAAAAAATGTGCTAACCTGCATCTAGCGGCTCTCTGGCAATCTGGCACCTGCCAAGCTCTGGTTGCAGCAACCACGAATCGTCAATGTCTGCAAGTTGCTTGGCCACGTGAGGGAGTCTAAGCTGCGAGTCGCGAAGGAGCCGAGGGCCAGTGTGCGCAGGTCACGTGGCAGTTGGATTCCTGCAATACACGAACCTTCATAGATAGAAGAGGGCTTTGGGGTACATTATCGAAGGACCGTATCGTTGCCAGCACTAACTATGAGTGGATAGCCTTGCTGATCATTCAGACTCCTGTAGGTCTGCAGTACGCACGTCTGCGACTTCTCTACTGCATCCTTGCAAGGCAGCCTGAGCACGCCCTTCCAGGGTCGGGAGGGAGCCTACTCACAACTCATGTGCCGTCTAAGGGTAGTACAACAACGTACACCGAAACCCCAAGCATTGATGATGTAAATCCTGCATTACCTTAAGGACCCTAAACTATGGGAATTACGGTATATTCCTTATTGTGGGTAATGCAGGATTTATATCATCAACCCGTAGCCGGACGGCCTGTCGAGTTCTGGATGAGGAAGTAGCCAAAGGTCAAGCTCCGGAGGCTCTCTGGCAACGCAACGCCCTCCAGGCTCCGGCTAAAGCCACGCCCGAACGTTAGCGTCTGCAAGGCCTCTGGCCAAATGACACCTCCGGGGCTTCGTCGCCCAAGCCACAGAGCTGGTCCCCTAAGAGGTTGATACTAGCCGGGTCCCTTTGCTAAGTCTCGCCGTAAAGGTGGCTCTTGTTCTCTCGGCTCCCACCCCTCCGGCTTGACTCCCACCTGCCAATGCTTGATTGAAGTCTTGCCCGAAGGTCAGTGTCTGCAAGCTGCTTGGCAGCACCACGCCTTGCAGCTGCCGAGAATGAGGGGCGCAGGGTGCAGGTCAAGCCAAAGTACTGCATTCGTTGCTTGACCTACCTTTCCAGAAAGCTCTGTCTAATGTAGGTAATTAGAATAGGGCTTTGGGGTCCTTTATAGTATTATAGTGTCATTATAATAAGGAGCCCCCAAAACCCGAGTCTAATTATTAAGGCCCCTATATTATGTCCACACTCCGACCTTCGAGGCTTTGATCGAACTCGTGTCCGAAGGTCAAAGTTTCGAGGCTGCTCGGCAGCACCCGCTCTTCCAAGCACTGGTCGAAGCTGTGGCCAAAGGTCAGGGTCTTTAAGCTGCTTGGTAGCAGGACGCCCTCCAAGCTCTGGTTGAACCTGCAGGATGAGAGAGGGCACAAGAAAGCAAATGCAAGTCCCTCTCAGGCTCCACCAGAAAGGCAATTTAAAGTCTCTCAAGTTCCTGCATGTGCAGAGACGTCAACCGACCACGAAGCTTCAAAATGGTGATCAAATCCAGGCGGGGGAGCCCCGAGCCAAACGTCAATGTGCGCAGCTGGCTCGGCAGCCGGCAGCTTCCCAAACTCTGGTTGAATTGGTCGCCGAAGGTCAAAGTCTGCAAACTGCTTGGTAGAACGACACCTTCCAAGAACTGATGGAACATGTAGGAACAGCCATTGTAGTAGCAGCAGTTGCTGTTGTTGCTGCCGCAGCAGTAGCAGCATCAGCAGCAGCAGCAGCAGCAGAAGGAGCAGCAGCAGCAGGAGCAGGATTAGTAGTCGTGGTCGTCGTAGTCGTAGTGGTAGTGGTATTGGTAGTGGTCGCGGCGGCAGTGGCAGTGGTGGTGGTATGGAAGTGGCAATGGTAGTGGCAGTGGCAGTGGGAGTGGCAGTGGCAGTGGCAGTGGCAGTGGCAGTGGCAGTGGCAGTAGCTCTAGCAGTAGCAGTAGCAGCAGCAGCAGCAGCAGTAGCAGTAGCAGTAGCAGTAGCAGGAGCAGGAGCAGAACCAGGAG